GGCCATATTTGTTTACCAGGTTTTCAGACGCAGACACGAGAAGATGGAGAACGAAATCGAAGAGATGAAACAAATATGCCGCGCTTTTCATGAAGAGCTTTCTAAGCCAATAGAGGTTCCTAAGCCAAAAGAGCTTCCTAAGCCAAGGGGATTAGCTTGGCTCTACAACTTCATGTGTTATCAAAGTGCTCCTAAGGAAATACAACAGGAGAGCTAAAAAGGCTAAAAGCCTCAAAGATGGTCTGTTTCTTTGCAAACTGTTTTTGCTTTACTTGTAGATAGTTTCAGATATTAACCAGATAGGTTAACTTCAGAAGAGAAGAGATCTGCGTTCGTTCTGGCTTCTTTGAACATCTCTGTCTCATAAACTGAAATTATCAATACTTATTACAGTGAAAGAAACTCTAGAGGTTTTGTTCTTGGTTTTTGACTCGGTCAGTAACTTTTTTTTGAAGTCAGTAACTTCATTTCAATCTTTTACAATTCAAGCCAATACCAAGATTGTTGTCCATGATTTTAAATAAATAATNAACAAAAAAAAAAAACTATTCAAACTATTTTGTCTCTGCTTTATATCTTGTGATTAGAAAGATTGTGATTTTTCTTTTTTTTCAAATTTGATTGTGATTAGAAAAATTTGATCAAATTAGCACGTTTATTACTACCACATTTCTCTATGATGTTTCGACAAACAAAATGTCATTTCTAAGTTTTTTCTTAGTTAAAAAAAAAAGAAATTGATTCTGTGTCAAAAATTGGGTCTTGAAAAAACATCAAGGTTCAAATAAGTGATTAATGAAAACATAAGAGTCAATTTTGAAATTTTCTCAGACTTAGAGGAAGGGTAGTTAGAGCATGATTATAGGGATGATTGGTTGGTCTTTAAAAAGTAGTTACAGTTTTAATTTATTTTTACAATCCTAAAACTTATCAATCAAATTTTAAACTAATTTTGAAAGCTACAATCTAAAAAGAACTAGTTGTAACTCCTTTGTTTTTTATAACCCTCTTTTTGGTACTGTAAAAAACAACGTGGCTGTAAA